ATATATATATATATATAGAAGAGCGATCAAATGCAAACCAACAAACCGTGCAAACTACCCTCATTCGTCGATTTCATTGTTTAATCTTATGAAATTTTTTCATGAAATTGTTTAATCATGTGAAATTGTTTCATATAATACTTTTTTTGATGAAGTTGTTTCATATATGGTTATGAAATTGTTTCATATAATACTTAATGAAATTGTTTCATGTATTTTTCTAAAAATTAAAATAATGAAGATGATTATATCCATGATTAACATCTTCCACAATAAAAATGATTAATCAACCTCTCGTAATTACAAAAAAATGAACAAAATGAAAAATTATGATCGGTTGAATGAGATTTGTACGGTTTGTACAAATACCGTGGTTTCCTCTCTCTCTCTCTCTCTCTCTCTCTCTATATATATATATATATGTGTGTGTGCGCGCGCTATTTCACCATATAAATCAAAGATAATTTTTGTTTATGTGTGGTTTCACCTTATTAAATGAAGATAATGTTTCTATATATCACATCTGTCACCATCAAATCGAGATTCTTCACAAACAAATTCACAATTCATTTTTACCTAAACTGTGATCTAAATCATTATATGCGACTATGTCTTATAAACAAACATCAGAACCTATCATCTATGCCATGTGATAAAGACATAAGTGAAACAAGTAAGTTGTGAACCAAAAAAATGGTTTTTCCCATTGCTTTATTCAACATAACTAAGGCCTCTTAAATAGAGTTTACAAGACATAACATAAAGCATAAAAATAGCCCACGATAAACAACTGTGAACTGAAAAACGGCTAGTTCCTAAAGACCAACACAAATTTGACTTATTCAAACAATAAGCAACAATTAAAAAGATCCTTATCATACCCTCCCTTAAACTTACTGCAGAGTGCAGTTAGTTTACATCACTGATGTCAACCATTCCCATCTTCTTTCTTAGCTTCTGAAAAGCTTCCAACTTCAAGGCTTTAGTCATCAAGTCTGCAATCTGCTCATGGGTTTTACAATACACTAAGTTGATTTCCTTGTCTTTTGCTAGCTCTCTCAGAAAGTGAAAACGTACCCAGATATGTTTGCACCTCCCATGTAGCATTGGATTTTTGGATAATTCAATTGTAGAAGTATTATCACACATGATAGTAGTACTAGCCTCTTGAACATGGCCCAAAATTTTCAACACTTGTCTCATTCACACAGCTTGACAGGCACTTGCAGCAACAACTATGAACTCTGCTTCAGTAGTAGAAAGACTGACAATTGGTTGCTTCTTGGACATCCATGAGACAGCTCCAGAACTCTATATAAAAACATATACAGAAGTACTCCTGGAATCATCTTCATCTCTTACATAATCTGAGTCTGTGAAGGCTATTAACTCATCATCCCCTCCCTGCTTATAGAGGATTCCATAACCCACAGTTCCTCTTAAGTACCTCAATATTCGTTTTGCGGCTTGTAAATGCAACTCAGTAGGCTTTGACATATATCTGCTAATTAAACTTATGTTATACATGATGTCTGGTCTAGTGGCGGAGAGGTACATTAAACTTCCGACAATTTGTTTGTAGTGAGTATCGTCTATTTCTATCCCACCAACATCTTTGTTGATTTTTGAACCTGGAACGATAGGATTTTTCACAGGTTTGCTTTCCAACATTGCAAATTTCTTTAGTACATTAGTGGCATACTTTCTTTGACAAATAAAGATTTCTCCTGGATTTTGCAACACTTCTACCCCAAGAAAGAATCTCATCTTCCCCAAGTCTGTCATGTCAAAGGCTTGCATCATGGAACTCTTGAACGCCATCATCATTCCCTTATCATTGCATGTATAGATTAAATCGTCAATGTAAATACTAACAACCAATATTTTACTTCCCACGCGCTTCTTAATGAACAAGGTTTGTTCATTTGGGCATCTTTGAAAATCTTTCCATATGAAATGTGCTTCTATGCAGCTGAACCAAGCCTCGGTGCTTGTCTTAACCTGTACAGTGCTTTATTCAACTTGTAGATCTTGTGTTCTTTCCCTTTCTTCACATACCCCATTGGTTGCTCGACATATACATCTTCATCTAATTCTCCATGGAGAAATGCAGATTTAACGTCCATTTGAAAGATGTTCCATCCTTTGAATGCTGCAAGTGCCACTATCATCCTTACTCTATCCATGCGAGCAACAAGGGCAAACACTTCTGTAAAATCGATTCCCTGTTGTTGCGAGTATCCCTTGGCGACTAACCGGGCCTTGTATTTGTCAACTTCACCAAGTTCGTTCAGCTTTGTTTTGTAGATCCACTTCACACCGATTGTTCTTGCATTAATAGGCAGATCTATGAGCTCCCAAGTCTGATTTTTTTCGATTGAACTTATTTCACTATCCATCACCTTCCTCCATTTTTCATGTTGTACGGCCTCTTCAAATGAGGTTGGATCATCATGGATAACATCATGTATCATGTAAGCCTCTGCTTCCTTGTCACTCATTCCTTCTCCACTAATAAAATCCCTCATCCAAGTTGGCTGCCTCCTTTGTCTCCCTTGTGTTCCAGGAGCTTGTGGGCTGCTCTCACCATTCCCAGCTTCACCATTACCCTCATTATTAATTTGAGATTTGTCGTCATTGTTTTCTACAAACTCCATATCACTATCCTCATTATGTTTATCATTGTTTTCTACACACTCCATATCATTATCTTTCCATATTAAATCTTTCTTTATTTGTTCTTCATAATCTAAACTCCAATCCCAAGAATGTTGTTCATCAAATACAACATCCTTACTTACCACTATTTTCTTTGTCTTGGGATTAAATAATCTATATCCCTCAGACTCATCACTAACCCCCAATAATACACACAGAAAGCTTTTGTCATCTAAATTGCCTCGTTTAGCATCTAGAATATGAACGTGAGCCACGCTTCCCTATATTCTGAAGTGAGCAACAGAAGGCTTTACTCCCGACCATGCTTCTTGCGGAGTCTTATTCATTACAGCAAGTGTGGGGCATCGATTTAGTAGATAGACAACCCACATAACAGCTTATGTCCAAAATGTCTTTGGCATCTTTATTGCAACCATCATACAACGCACCATGTTCATCACGATTCTGTTCTTTCTTTCCGCAACCCCGTTTTAGTGAGGGGTATATGCAGTGATAAGTTGACGCTTGATGGCATTTTTCTCACAGAAAGTCTTGAAGTCCAGGGATGTGAATTCTCCTCATCGATCTGTCCTCAAGCATTTGATCAACTCTCTTGTCACCTTTTCCACCATTTGCTTGAACTTCTTGAAACACTCTAAAGCTTCGGACTTTGCAACTAACAAGTATGCCCAACTCTTTCGACTAAAATCATCAATGAGACAAATAATATACCTTTTCCCACTATTAGATGCAGGATCGATCGAACCACAAATATCCGCATGGATGAGTTCCCACAGCTTCTTTGCTCTCCATTCACTACTTTTTGGAACAATATTGCAGTGTTGTTTGCCTCTAAGACAATCCGTGCAGGTAACTTTAGGGACTTCAAGTGGTGGAAGACCTCTCACCATCCTTTTGGTTGTTAGAGTTCTCAACCCCTTGTAGCTCAAATATCCATATCTATGATGCCAAAGAGATGTGGGATCTATAACACTACTGTGGAGACACGTTTCAACCTGTTGAATTGGGTTAGTCATCTTTTCATTCAACAAAAACAAACATCCGGTTCATGTTCAATTTAGCACAAGCAATCAAACCTTTTTATGGATGATATATGTTGCAGGCTTTATTCTGCATATGTACAGAAATTCCTTTCTCTTGCAACTGACCAACACTTAACAGGATGTTGAGTTCAGGAACATAGTATACATCACTCACCACAAAATTTTGACTATTAAACACCAAGCTTACAATGTCTTTTCCAACTACATTCATTCTACTATCATTCCCACATTTGACCGAATGCTTAAACTCGATTACCAGATTAGTGAACATACCTTTATCACCACACATGTGGTTAGAGCAGCGGGAATCAATAAACCAAGCATCCTTCTACCTTGACTCATGATCTTCTATAAATGCCATTAGCAAAACGTCATCTTCTTCATCAAGTTTCGCATAATTTGCCTAGTTGCTCCATGCTGGACATTCATATTTAAAATGCCCACGACCGTGACATTATTAGCACTCCACATCTGCTTTGTTGAAGTACGCTCTTTCCTTTCCTCAGCCTCTTCCTCTGGTTCCAAACTTTTCCTCCACCTTCAAAACATGATCCTTTCCTTCTTCATATGCCCTATGAAATTTCTGCTCATGGACCATCAACGAACTTTGGAATTCATCGACAGTCATCTTGGTTGTGTCTTTCGATTCTTCAATTGAAACAACCACATACGTAAATTTCTCTGTTAGGGTCCGCAAGATTTTCTGCACAATCTTGGAATCTAGCATCTCCTCTCCGTTACTTCTCATTTTATTCGACATCGCCATCACCCTAGTGAAATACTTCGAGATGGTTTCATTGTTTTTCATCACTAGTATTTCGAACTCTCTCCTAAGCGTATTCAGAAGAGACCTTTTCACACTCTCAATACCGCCAAATTTGCGCTTCATTGAACCCCACACAATCTTTGCCATTCGGCGATCCAAAATCTGCTCAAACACATTACGATTGATTGCTTGGAACAGGTAATGCTTTACCTGATAATCAAGTGTTCTTTTCTCCTCAATCAGCCTTTTCTAAGCTGCACTCGATTCTTTTCCCGGTGGTGGTTCTTGAAATCCTTCAGCGATCAAACTCCAAAGTCCCTTGGCTCTCAACAAGTTTTCCATAAGCTCACTCCAGTGGTCATAGTGACCATCAAAGGTTTGGAATTTTGGTGAGGGATTTGTCGTCACTCATCTTGCCTTGCAAATGAATCACTCACAAGAAGTTGTTGTTTGACCATTCTATCAAGGACCCTGTATAGCTCTGATACCAAATGATAAAGACAGAAGTGAAACAAGTAAGCTATGAACCAAAAATGGTTTTTCCCATTGCTTTATTCAACACAACTAAGGCCTCTTAAATAGAGTTTACATGACATAACAGAAAGCATAAAAATAGCCGACGATAAACAATTGTGGACTGAAAAATGGCTAGTTCCTAAAGACCAGCACAAATTTGACTTATTCAAACAATAAGCAACAACTAAAAAGATCCTTATCACCATGGACGTCTTCAAAAAAATGTCTACCAAATTACACACCAAGTATTAATCAATAATTACAAACACATAGAAACACATTCTAACAACAAATCAAGAGTCCGAAACGTAAGCAACATCAATCAAAGACAAACTAATATTGAAATTAAGATTTCTAGATTCAAGTATCAGCAAATTTAAAAATCAGCAACTAATGCAATAAACTGCATCACTCTGATTGGCTACAAATGGAATAATTCAATTATAATCTCGTATATTACGCCTAACACACATAATACCTGAAGCTCAGGAAGGAAGTCAACATCGCCTTGAGTTGGTGGAGAATTAAGAAATCTCCATCGTTTGAAGAATCGAGAAATCACAGAGCCGGAAGAAGGGTTCCAGGAAGCTTTACAATTGAAGTGGAGCGTGGGTCGTCATCGTCGTCATGTGATTTGTTATATGTATCAGTTGTTAATAACGTAGAAAGATTTCAACCGAAAGGCAATGAATATTACTGTGTTAGACAGAGGACGACATCGGATGATGAAGAAAGAGATGATGGATGCTACTAGATCTGGATGATGAAGATGGAGGCGGGCCAATGAAGCCTTGTTGATTGGATTTAAAGCCCAAGAATGCCCTTCTAATTTCAAATTTAATCCATAATAAACTTTAAATTTCTAAGTTATTTCAAAAATGCTAATATATTTTATGTCTATAAATTAAAAGTAATGTATGTTTAGATCGATTTACATGGTTCGCAACTTGTTTATGATTCTCATTTGATTACCGTCCTATATATATATATATATATATATATGTGTGTGTGTGTGTGTGTGTGTGTGGGTGGGTTGGGTTCCTATGAGAATGAGAGTTAAGGTAAGAAGCGTAAGAAGGAATCTCCACCTTGAATGCACATTAGGATGAGATGCACTGGATCAATCCTTGTATCAAGCGCGATTCATGTGTGATTTTGAGATTAAAGGTGATTAAATGTCCAAATTTCTTCTTATGTTTCTCACTTTAACTTTACTTCTCACACGATCCTATATAAGCGAAGGATCGTGTGAGAAATAGAGTTAAAGTGAAAAGCGTAAGAAATGATTTAGACCCTTGATCACCTTTAATTTCAAACTCGCACATGAATCGCGCTTAATACAAGGATTGATCCACTGCATCTCATCTTGGAACATCTCATCATAATATGCATACAAGGGTGGGGATCCATTATTATGTTTCTCACCTTAACTCTTCTTCTCACTGAAACTCACCCCTATATCTATATATACATGAATATATTAAGTTAGATATTACTTCATACTATTTTTATAATACTATATATATATATATATATATATATATATATATATATAGGGTTGGGTTCACGTGAAATCATGGGTTTTTCGTGAGACCCGTAAGACCAATTTATGTTCATTGATCAACTTTATAAGCTAATAATCTAATGGTCTAAAGTTGCACTATAGCAATTTTGTGATTATTGAAAGTCTCGTGACAATTTTGTGATTATTGAAAAGTCTTGTGGTAATTTTGTGATTATGAATGTTCAGATTGTAGATCTAATCCAAGGGTTGAGAATTGGTCTTACGGGTCTCACGAAAAACCCTTGGTCTCACA